TTCTGGGGGTGGGTTGGGGGAAAAACTCACACAATTGTGCGTGGATTTTACGGGAAAAGTTGATCAAAGGCATAAAGAAATGTAAGTGTTCAGTTTCCAAAGACTCTCAAGTCGTGGACGTCACCAAACTGTGGTGGTCATTGTCTCGCTAACTTTGCCTCTGAAGAAAGAGGCGACTCCCACGTCCGTCGGTCGCAAATATCTCCACTTGTATTAAAGATAGATGGAAACTATTTTATTGAAAGATAGACAAATAAACAGGCTTTGACATGATACCAATAATTCCACTTGCCCAAAAATTGACGAGCGGTGTTATCAGACGTTTAACTGGCATTTAGTCATTCCCATACCTCTTTCCGGGTACATTCGAACCCGTTCATAACGTCACCCAAGATCCAAGAGAAAAGTAGCCGTTATAGACAGTGTTGAGACCGCTATGGACAGGGGCTGAGCTTTGGTTACTTTCTACGCGTTTGGAAATGATTTCTAAAACGGAACATGTAAATCAACGATAACATCTACCCTTGAAGCTTTTTAAAAAAAGAAATGCTGATATCAGACTCAGTTGGGTTTTTTTGTGAGAGTTTTACGGCACTTGCAACACAATAAGTTCATATGAGTACCGAAGATAGAGGTGTTACAAAAGAGTAACAAACACAAAATAGAAAGACGTGAGAAAAAGACGACAGATGTTTGATAGGAAAGATGGAGCAAACCACACCAGAGCACCCGTCTACCACCCACCAACAGACTCAAACATCCCCAGAGTAGCGGTCATCCACAAAGAAAAAATAAAGCACCACGAGAGAAAACACATTAACAAATACAAGCAAGCTAACAAAGGAAAACAAGCTAACAAACAAACAAACAAAAAACCTGACAGGGTCAGCCAGTTGCCTCCACAATACAGGCATCATATTGTCTGTCAAAACAAAACAGTAGCAGAGAAAGCAAACTGACAAATAAGAATAAAGTGCAGATAAAAGCAACTTACAAATTAAAACGAATCAACAATTAATTAACACGGGGGAAAATAACAAAAAAAGGGCTGACCCAGTCAGCCGTTTGCTACTATAAGACAGACCAAAGACTGTCTGTTATAACAAAACAACACCAAAGAAAACAAACAAACTAGCAAATACAAACAAATTATGCTAACAAACAAACAAACAAACAAACAAACAAATCCTCTAACGCTTACTGGGGTAAGCAGTGTGTGTGTTATTACTAAACAGTCTGTCGCATAATCATTATAATGTGTGGGCAGTGGCTGTGTGCCTGGTTCATTGGACACTCGCAAGTCACTGGGTGAACGCTGCAACACTATATAAATCCCTCCCCCTTTTGCCCAGGAGCTTGTTCCTGGTCATGCGGTGAGCCTAGCTGCTTCTTTGCATTGATTGAACGCTCAGTCAGGGCAAGGGTTGGGGAAAACTATCTTTATTGTAGCCACTTGCTTAATTGTATGTATCAAAAGACCGCTGTGAACAGGTTTTGAGACCGACCTATCACGAAAATGACTGGCGGGGGCCATGGTCGCATTGAAAAGGGACCGCAATAGACACAACTGTGTCATGGAACAGTAGCCATTTTAGTACAGGCGACCATTACGGATGGGATCAGGTCGGGTCGCCTGAAGACAAACTTGTTTGCTTTTTAGACGACGAGTTGGGCGATCGGTTTGTG